TCTCTCTAGTCAAATTAAAAAATAAATGAATGAATAAATAAAATAAAATAAATAATTATTAAAAAATATATATATATATACCCAGAATAAAAAATAGCCTTTATTCATCTTTAAAGCGCCAGGGAAGAGCTAGGCCAGGATTCCTGGTCACCCATTAGCTTCTCCCCTGCCTAGGATTCCACAGCATAGGGTGACACCTGCTGGTGAGTGTCTGCTAGGCGTGGTTGGTACAGGAGCTCTTCCTTTGCAGGTTTGCCTCTGAGATCCTCGACCTCATTCCTGAGTAGGTCACCTCTGGGCCCAGTGAAGCAAGAGATGGGGGGAAGGTTCGTACCAAGGAGAGATGCGGGGGAAAGAGGAGGTGCTGGTGGGAGAAAGGGGCCCAGCAGGAGGAAGCCAGCCTCGGTGGCGTGACCGGGCCCCTGAGGCAGCCCTGGCTGGAGGCCATCTCTACCACAATCCCAGGGGAGGGGAGGATGAGGTGCAAGCCCCTACAGGGCCGAGCCTTCTGCCTGGAGCTCGAGGGCACCATGGGTTTCTGTAATTTGAGGTCTGAGTCAGGTACCTCCTGCCTGGGGTGTTGTGAGTGGCTGGGGACATTGGGCTCTTCCATGGTTGTCACCTTGAGCCTTAGTCTGGAGGCCACCTGAGGATTCGACATGGTGGGGGACACTGTTTTGCTCTTGCTCTTTCTGTGAGACGTCAGGGGGCTGGAGCCGGTGGTGGGGGAGGAATCGCAGGGCTCCTCCCTGTCCGTAGGGGTGTCCGACTTGGAGCCAGGCAGCGGCGGCTCGCAGGGGAGGGGCAGCTGTGAGGCAGACGTGCCGCTGGTTGGGAAGCCGTTGAAGCGGCGGGCGCTGCTGAGCTTGTCGACAGCCTGGCTGACCACGCGCTGCAGGGCCGGGAAGAGGTCGTGCTGGGCCAGGAAGTCCAGGGTCTGGTGGGGCTGGTGGAGCGAGCAGTAGCCGGGCAGGTCGAGGGACGCCGGCTGGCTCAGCAACGACTTGATCTTCTTGTAGAACTCTCCCCTGAGCAAGGTCAGCTCCCGCTCTGCAGGCCCCAGCTCCGATGCCTCAGGCGTGCTGGAGCTGGAACCCAGCAGCCCAGAGAACCACGACAGGGGCTTCTCCTGCGTCCACTGGCTGCTGGTCTGGCTGCCCTGCGAGTCCCACGGCAGGGAGTCCCCCTGCGACCAGGACCGATTCCGGCCTTTCTGTAGAGAGAAGGGGAGGGGACCAGCAGAGGGTATAATGGTTACATCACTGGACTCCCACGTAGTCGACCACAGTTCGAGTCCCGGACCCAGCGGCTTAAAACTCATGCCAGGTACGTGTGTGCGTGTGCGCATGTGCACGCACGCCCAAATATCCTGAGAGGAGACTAGAGGAAAAGAGACTGTGGTATGGTCATGCCCCCAGGGGATGATTTCTTGCTGTCTCTGTCTTTCTGGTGAGCAGATGTGCCCCATGGCAACAAACAAACAAACAAAACCTCTCTCTCTAAGAAAAATAATAGAGAGGGACCAGCAGTTAGCATAATGGCTATGTCACTGAACTCCCATGTAGTTGACTGCTGTTCGAGTCCCGGACCCAGTGGCTTAAACTCACGCCAGGTGCGTGTGCGTGCGTGCCCAAGATCCTGAGAGGAGAATGGAGGAGAAGGGATTGTGCCGTGGCCATCCTCCCTGGGGGTGATTTCTCACTTTCTGTCTCTCTGCCTCTCTCTGTCTTCATGGTGAGCACATGTGCCCTATAGCAAAAAAAAAAAAAACCTCTCCAAAAAATAATAGAGAGAGGAGGGGACCCTGAGACGTGGGCAGGAGCCCAGGTGGCTCTGATTCTGGGCTGGGGTCTCTCCCGTCAGGTCCCAGCTATGGCCCCAGAGCTCACCCCTTTGTTTTCCAGTCGCTGCAGCCGCTTGAGGTTCTTCTCCAGCAGGAGCCTGTCCCCCATGGATGGCAGTGAACCTGCCCCACGGGCAGCCAGGTCGCTGTCCCAGCAGGGGGCGCCCAGGAAGCCAGCTGTACGGCTGCTATGGGAACCAGACGTAGAGCTGGAGCATGATGGGTAGTTGTTGGGGTGTCCAGTGCAGAGATTGGGCCGAACACGGTGCCGGTGCATGGTGCCCTGGCTGGGCCGGGCTCGTGCCCGCCGCCCACCTCTCAGCACCTCCACAGGGTCCTGCACCTCCAGCAGCGGCACCCCGGCATCGGTCTTCACGGTAGCCATGCGCTCAGTCGCCTTCTCCACCACTGTCTGCAGACTGTCCAGCACCTGGCCCTCAGTCAGGAAATCCAAGAAGCTGCGGAAGGGCTGAAGGCCCCTCCGGTTTCGGCGGTGGCCTGCATAGGTGGACGGTGGATGTGGCACGCGACTTAGCTTGGGGGCTGGTCTCATCTCAGAGAACAGTGGCTGGCTGGGGGGGGGGCCCCACACAGACA